GATATTGAATAATGTCATGGAATTATTGTTAATTTTTCTTAGGTATTATATAATAAGTTTGTTATGTAGGAAAACATTCTTAGGAGACTTATGCTGAAGTTTTTAGGGGTGAAGTGTCATAAAATGATTCAGGAAAGAAATGCATATAGACAAAGACACATACACAAATACTGACATATGTGTGTGTGAGAGACAGAGAATAAAATAAAAGTGGCAAATGTTAATGTTTGGTGAATTTAGGTGAGGATATATGGATGTTCACTGTGCTATTCCGTAAATTTAAAATATTTTAAAATAAAAAGTCAAGGACGAAACAGATCTGCATGGTTTGAACTCACAGGTAGGGGTGTTCTCCTACCTGGAGTTTCAGTCGGTGACCAGTGGCTGACCCATTCACCTCTCCAGCCACTGTGGCGATGGCTGTCAGTGATTGAAGAGATCTCTGGCTGTCCTGCCTGGTGGACCACCTAGGACCTTGGCCTATTTATTAACTTTCCGCTTCTACTCAGCAGGACAGATCCAAAGACAATCTTCTAGGCTGTTGACATGGCTGAGGTCACCACATCTCCATGTTGCTTTTTCCCTGTGCAGGTTAAAGAAGTTGTCGGTGTTCAGACCTAATGATGCTATGGAACTCAGAAGGGGGAGGACGGTTGCCTTTCTGCTTTGACAAAGGTTGGGGAGAAGGGAGCTATGGCCCCCATTCTCATTAGCGCCCTTTGCGTGGAGAAGGGGAAAACATCTTGTGAATATCACTTATTACTCAAGTGTCAGAACATCTTGTGTCCAGGAAAGTTATAAAACAGACCTGTGAATTGAATAAGGAGATGAGCTTCAGGTAAGATGGGAAGGGGTCAGCTTTGTCCTAGTGACACCGCTCTTGCCTGCTGGCAATTTCTGGTCATGCACGTGGATCACAAGAGGGCAAGGAGGGAGTGAGTCACTCCAGAGCGGAATTTTACTCCACAGCCAAAGGATGGACAGAGCAGCCACCTCTCACATTCCCCTTGCCAGAGTCTGTGCCACTTAATGTGGCACTTGGTCATTAGCTTCTTGCTTTGCGGGTGCTGATCTTGTTTTCCTAACTAAACCCTTGTGGCATCCATGCTTCCTTATTCCTCATATATCCCTCAACAGTTCTTGGATCATGGTAGATATCTGGCAACTACTCTGTGGTTGACACAATAGATTTTCATGATTCATTCAGGTCTCAGTGCAGAAGAAAATCCAAATCAAATTGTCTTAAACAAAACCAGGAATGTCGTAGCTCATCTAACTGGTAAGTCCAAGCATTAGTGGCTTTGGGCATAGCTTGCTTCAGGGCCTCATAGGGTGCCAATGGGGCCTGATGTCTCCAAATCTTATCTCTGCTTTTCTCCACATTAACTTAATTCTCACATTTCTGTGGTGACAAGATGCCTGCTATGTCCTACATCCTCCAAGGTCTAAGTCCAAATGAGAAGGAAGAGGGACTTCTCAGCAGTAGGAGTTGCATTGCATCCCATTGGCTCTAACTGGGTCACGTGTCCATCACTGTGGCTGGGGGAATATCTATTCTAGTTGTAGCAGGCCTGAGCCACACATTCCTGAAGCCAGAAGTGAGGTCAGCTTCACTGGAAGCATCAGATCTGAGAGCAGGGGAGGGGTCATTGTCTTAAAAACCTCCTGTTTACCCCACTGGCTAGGGAGGGACATGGAGTGGCTGACACTGGACTTATGAAATTAACAGCAGTTTATTAGTCCCATATACTCACAGCCTGGGGGCAGAGGACACTGTGTACCATGCAGGGTGACACAGGCTATACTTGGGAACAGAGTGAACAAGCAGAGGCTCTGGGATGGGGGCTTTGTAGAATCAAGAGGGTGTGTTGGCCCCTGGTTTCTTGGGGGAGGATGTGATTAATCTGTTTGAATAATTCTTTGGGCTGGTAGGGAACTACCTGACACTTGGGATAAGCAGAAACTGCTCCTGGTCCCCTTTGTAAGGGGGTCACTTGGCTAGGGGACCTTATCCGTGGGAGCAGAGTGGGAGGGAAACTTGCAGTTAGGCCATTCAGGGCCCTTCCAGTTTCACCAGAGGTCAAGGCACCACATGATACGGGCTTTAATTTTAGGCCTTACACCACAGTGGTCCCCAGAAGAAGATTAGGGACTATTGGCATAGGAAGGGCAAATTGATGCTGATCTGAGTGGCAGAGCAATAGATGTCCACTATCCCCGAGCCAGGAGACTCCAAGAAAGTGGTCACTGGTGGCTGGTCATCCATCAGAAGCAAATTCTTTGTCTGCACTGATCATCCTTATTCTGACCCAGTCTCGGGAACCTCACACAGATGTCTCTAAGGTCCTAACGGAGGAGATGAGGCAAGAACATGTGGATGGCACAGGACAGAGCCCTGGGGATACCTGTCCTGGGGAGGTGGGTCATTTCTTGTGGGAAGAGAGCCCTGGTTCCAGACAGTGTCCTGAAATGCCAGGCTTCGGGGTGCCCTGGATGGCCCTGCTCCATGTCACTTCACTGCTCTTCGTCACGTGCAGACGCCCTCGCTTGCCGAGTTGAGTATTGTGGTGGACTGGGCCAGACGCCTGGCTGGACCTGGTTCTAAGTCTGATCATGGCAGGAACTCTCTGTTATCCAGCTGGAGCCATTAAAAAAAAGTGCCATTTAATGCATCGGGGGCAGAGTGCTGGAATTGCAGCTCATCACACCTTGTTGGGTTCATAGGAAGTTTGATTTGAAAATTATTAAAGAGGAGACTCTTGACTGACTTTCTATGAAGATTTCTGAGAATCAGATGAAAAACTATGGACTTAACAGAAACACAAACACTCCAAATTTTACAAACAATTTCTGGGAGTTTCATATATTCTCTAAAACCCCTGCATTATACAAATATCGTGATTAGAGAACTCCATTGCTTTGGGAGTCATGTTTGGAGAGGTTGGTTAGTAGCAACCTAAGTCACCTAAGGCAACCTCTGTCCCCAGGAGAGAGGCAGTTTTATGTTCTGTGTCTGCAAAGGTGGTACATCTAGAGGGCAATAGCTTTGGAAATCCAGGCAGTCTGTGCTCCGTTGGCCATCGGCGGTGCTGTTTGGGGCCACTGTGTTAAGGTGTACGTACATCCATCCATCACTGCTCTGAACATGTCGTTCCCCAGCAATAGACTCTTAATATCTTTGAGGGAGAATAAAGAGTGGGAAGGACTTTCAGAAGGTGGGCGCCAAGATGCAGTCTTAACATACACATGAACTTGTGAAATTCATCAGTGTCATCTGCACGCTGGTGGAAAATAACAATGTGCTGTCTGCTTTAAATTCAATGGCAAATGGGCCCTCAGACAGGTGACTTGGACATGAACAAGGATGGCCACTGGATGTAGCTGTGGACCCAACTTCCTTGTTTGAACAAAGGAAGAGACGAGCTACACAAAATCATGTAATGCCATCGTTAGCAGATTCTCCCAATGCTTGAAGTTCATTCATTTATTTGTTCATATGATAAATATTCATATTTGCTGAGTTCCTGCTCTGTGCCAGGTATTTTTCTAGAGTGCATAGCAGTGACCATAACAAAAGTTTTGGTTTAATGGTGATTGCCTTCTAGTGAGATCTGTGTGGTGGGCATTTGAAATTTGCCTCCCTAATATCCCTTCACCCTCCTTCTGGTAACAGCACGTGACTGTAGCTTAAGGATCTGCCCCTTCTCTACTCGTTTGGTTTGAGGTTTCGGTCCCCAAGCCCGGGGCCTTGGACCAGTATCGGTCTGTGGCCTGTTAGGAACTGGGCCACACAGGAGGAGGTGAGTGGTGAGTGAGCGAAGCTTGATCTGTATTTACAGCCCCTCCCCATTGCTCATGTCACGGTATAAGCTCTGCCTCCTGTCAGATCAGTGGCGGTGGCATTAGATTCTCATAGGAGCACAAACCCTACTGTAAACTGCGCATGCGAGGGATCTAGGTTGTATGCTCCTTACGAGAATCTAATGCCTGATGGTCTGAGGTGGAGCTGAGGCAGTGATGCTAGCCCTAGTCACAATGGCCACAGGACTCAAGCTGCTCTAATCAAAGAAAATCTCATTTTTGCAGGAGCTGCTGGAAAAAAATATATATCCGCACATGTGAGTATATATATATTTTTTTTCTTTCTTTTTTGTTTTTAATTCTCTGATGAACTTGAACCCGAGAGGCTGTAAGTTAGGACTACCAGTGTAGACTTGCCCCACAAGGGGACAACGAGTCTGAATATGGAAACAACAGAAAAGTGGTATGGAGTGACATCACCAAAGAAACCGAGGCTCTGTGACATTGTTTGAGCCCAAGATCAAGCTGAAAGGGATCCAGAGTACCCCCCTGGACAGTGTTGTTCGGAGCAATTTGAGTCGGGTGTTCTATCAACTGCTGCTAGAGGAATCCTGATTGGTTCATCCACCAGCCTGGAAGGCATGGAGAAGTTGTGGCAGCCACAAGCACGCTCTGAACACCTGGTGTGTGCAAGGTTCTCTGAGGACAGAGATGCCTGGCCCAACTGTGGAGCACATGGAGGTGGTGGCGGTGAGCCTGGCCACTCCTTCCTATCATCGGCCCCATCTCCTCACCCTCGATGCCCTGGCCCACGCACTCCTCTGACCTTTCCTAGGCACTGATCCTGTGTCCTCTTTCCGCTCTGCCATCAGCCACTATCTCCACCTGAACAGGGAGGGCCAGGTGCCCTGGCATCTGGAAAGAGCACTGGACCTGTCATGGGAGGAAGACTTGCCCTTTGGTTCCAGCTCTGGTGGAACTGGGCAAACCGTGCAACTACTTGAGATTTATCTCCCAAAAATAAAGGTGGAAATAATAATAATACAAATAACACATTCTCTACCACATGAGCTCCTGGCGAGGGTCAAACAAGATATACATGGAGTATGTTGTGAACAGAAAATTGACACATGAAAAATAAAACGTTGATAAACAGCTGAATGCAGGACTCTACGTGGGAGATTTTGCACTTTAAAAGGGGATCTTTGTCATCTGAGAGAAAAAGAAACAGGAAGAGAAGAAAACAAAGTTTGAAAACCTCTGCAAAATCATGAAAGACATCTTGGAGAAAAAAGTTGAAAAGGTGGTTGTGTCAAACTGATTGGTGACATCGCCATGCTGTATTGTCACAAGCACATATGGCTGGACAGCAAACATGGAAAGAATTATGAAAGCTCAAGCCCTAAGAGACAACTCGACAATGGGTTACATGGCAGCAAAGAAACACCTGGAGATAAACCCTGACCATTCCATTATCGAGACCTTAAGACAGAAGGCAGAGGCTGACAAGAACGACAAGTCTGTGAAGGATCTGGTCATCTTGCTTTATGAAACTGCACTCCTGTCTTCAGGCTTCAGTCTGGAAGATCCCCAGACACATGCTAACAGGATCTACAGGATGATCAAACTTGGTCTGGGTATCGATGAAGATGACCCTACTGCTGACGACACCAATGCTGCTGTAACTGAAGAGATGCCACCTCTTGAAGGAGATGACGACACATCGCGCATGGAAGAAGTAGACTAAGCTCTCCCTGAAGAATGACTTGTATACGTGTTCAATACTTCATTCCCTCCGATAATATATTTTCAAGGATTTTTTTTTTATTTTTAACATTTAAATATCTGTATGGCATGATAATAACTACTTTAAGGGGAAGATAAGATTTCTTTCTACTTCTAAGTGTGGTACTGTGATACTTTAGGCACTAAAGCAGAGCTAGTAATGCTTTTCTGGTTTCGCATTGGCGTATTTTAACAGATCGAGGTAAAAATTGTTGTAAGGTGTATCTAATCTCTGTTAACTTTGTGGCCTAGAGTGCTTAGCTATCAAGCCAGATTCCTTAATAGACCAAATCTTTTGTCACTGAGTATTTCAAGATATATCTTGATATTTAGAGAAAAGTATTTGTTAAAATAACTTCAGTTCATCTTCTAGAATCTACTTTTCAAACTTTTCATCCCCTTGTAGTTTGTGCATGTACTAGTCCTCTAGAAATAAGTATGTTTAAAGTGAAGTAACTTGATGAAACTCCACACAGGGCTTGTTTTCCAAAGAAAAAGTATTGTTCAGAGGAGCAAAATTATAAGCCCTACCCATACGTGTTGTAAAGCTGTTTTGCAGTGTGAGGCTTGTGAATGGAAATGCAGTGCCCGAGACACAATCTACTTGTAACAAATACAGATAAGTTTAAAAAAAAAAAAAAAAAAAAAGGGGGATCTTTGGAGCAGGAAAGCCCTGCGTTCCTTGCACGAGTGCGCTACAATGGTGGAAGAGCAGCCTTTCGCAAGGGCTGACGTTTTGCAGTTAAGCAGTCCTTCCTAACTCTCCCGATATCCCTTGGCTCTGCAGCTGACTTCACTCCCAGGAGAACAGTGAAGACCTGGAGGATCCTCTTTCATAAAAGAGGCCATTTTTCTTATCTTTGGTGAATATTTTTGCAGCACATAAAAGGCAAGAAGTGGTGTTGAGGAAAAAGGATGGCTCAAGAGAACAGTCTTGCCTCCCTGGCCCCTAAGGAGAACCTATAGGTGGCAGCTGTGTGGAGCTGTCCTTTCCTCCTTCTGAAGGTAAGAAAGTGACCAACACACAAAAGATACTAGGAAGAAGATTGCCGGTTCATGATGGCTAAGAACCTGAAAACAAATGAAGAGTTGTCCCAAAAGAATGGGCTGCAAAGTATTGACCTCACCAGTCAGGTCAGTGGTCAGATTTGAATCTAGCAGGAATATTGGAGAGGGACTCTGGTCTGGAGAGAGGTTGGGTGGATGGTGCCAGAAGTCTGTCCAACTCAGAGATACTAAGCTTATGATTACTTTTAGCATTTAGCACGTGTGCAGTGGGAAAAGCGACATAGATTGGCTTATGCCCCTTGATTCCTCTAACCAGGTGCAGCGAGGAACAGAATACTACATTATTGACCACCCTTTTGGGATAAGCTCCTTTTTCAGAGTGTGTATGTTTCTGGGGAAACAACTTATACTGTTGTCTGAGTGTCTCCTTGCAAGGAGCATTTGAGCAGCTTCTAAATATTTTCTGGAAGCAACCTTGTAGTTGTGGTCTTTATGAAACAAACAGCATTTTTTTGCAGAGTGCATCTAACCCTGTGGCAGATAGAATACTTGGATGAATTGAGGGGCTAGCATGGTTTGCTTGGGAGAACTCACTGAGAATTTCCCTCCACATCTTGTGACCTATTTTTTTCCCTTTTGTTCTTCCTCTTTTCTAAAAAAGGGAGGTATAATTTACACACAATAGCATCACAGATTTAAAGTGTAGAATTGGATGGATATTGACAAATGTATGCATCCATGCCACCAACATCTCAATTAAGTACAGAATATTTCCAACACCTCAAAAATTCCCTATGCTCCGTTTTTGTCTCCACCCGGAGGTAACTGACATTTTGTTTTCTATCACCGTTGCTCAGTTTTGCCTTTTCTAGAACTCATATAAATGGAAAGATATGGTATGTCTTTCTTTTATGTGTGGTTCTTTTGCTTAAAATAATACTTTTGAGATTTATTCATGTATTTATATATATCGGTAACTCTTTCCTTTTTATTATTGCATAGTATTCCATTGCGTGAACATGCTGTTATTTTACTCATTCTCCTGTTAATGGGCATTTGAGTTGTTTCCAGTATTTGGTTTTTACGAATAAAGCTGCTATGAGTGTTTTGTACAAGTCCCTTGGTGTTGGCTCTCACAGAGCAGGACTCAAAAAAGATGAATGGAAAAAATAAAAAGAATCGAGGAGACCCACACTAATTGTCAGTTTTCACCAAGGTGTCAAGACAATTCAATGGGAACATAGTCTTTTCTACAAGTAATACTGGAATACCTGGATATCTTTATGACAAAAAGAACCTCAGCCCTACTTCATGCCATAGGCAAAAATTAAGTTGAGATATAACATAGACCTAAATCCAAAAGCTAATATTATAAAAGCTTCTAGAAGAAAATGTAGAAGAAAATCTATAAATGTGGAGTAGGCAAAGATTTCACAGGACACAAAAGGAACAACCATAAAAGAGGAAATTGATCAATTGGACTTCATCAAAAGTAAAAGCATGTGCTCTTTGAAAGGCACTGCTAAGAAAATGAAAGGTTAAGCCACAGATGGAGAGAAGAAATTTGTAATATGTATAGCGAACAAAAGGCTAGCGTTCAGAATATATTATATTCCTTCAAATCAATCATAATAAGCAACAACTCAGTTTTAAAAATAGGTAAAGGACATGAATAGGTACTTCACAAAAATGATGAAAGAATGGCCAAAATGCACATGAAAAGATGCTCAACCTCACTGGCCAGCAGGGAAATGCAAATCAAAACCACCATGAGCTGCCACCCCACGTGCAGCTGGTGCCGTAAAAGAGCAGAGGACTGTGTGTGAGGGAGCCCGGGTTTGAGCCCCGCCCGACCACTGGGGGTCTTTGCAAGGCCCTGGACTGCCAGCAAATAATGAGGAAAAACAGAACTAACTGCGCACTAAGCACAAAGGCTTCTTTATTTTAATTTTCTTGCCCTGATATTCCAGGATTCTAGTTTGTGCCACAAGCATCTATGGCAATGAGAATCCTGCTCTCGACTCCCAGAGAGTTCTGTTTGGATGAAGTAAAGGAAGTGATTCTCTGACTTTTCACATGATGAATTTGAAAACGATCGACAAAAATCCTGCTAGGAAAGAAAGTTCCTAACTGAAATTTTTCTGAGAAATGAAGTATCATTTTTTTTTTCCTGAAGACTTCATCAATTCATACATTTTCTCCTTGGATGGAATAACGCCTACTCTAAAGATATGAAAGGGTTAATTTACTGTCAATATGTGTTACCGCTTCCCTGGAAGTAGGAAAATTACCTTTATTATGTGGAATTTGGCTTCAAGCACATCAGTGTTGGGTCTAGTGCCATATTCTCAGGGGTCTCATAAATATTACTGCTTGAAAGTAAGTGGAAGGACTGAGAATATTTAGCTTGGAAAAGAAAAAGGTCTCTCTCTCTCTCCCCCCCCCATCCTCCCTCCCTTCCTTTCCCCTGGTCTCTCTGCTCTCTAGCTCTTTCTCTCATTCTCACTCTCTCTGGTTCTATTTATCCACCTCTCTCTTTTTGTAGTTGTAGAATAATTAAAGGGCTACACTGTGGAAGAATAGACATTAAATTTATTTTGTGTGGTCCCCAAAGCGCATTTGGACCCATGGCTATAGGCAAATCTGTTTCTACTCAAACAACAATAGATCTCTCTGGAAATGAAATGAGAGGTGAGTGAGTTCTGTGTCCCTCAAGCTGTCAAGCAGACAGATACTTATTGAGACCACTGTGGAAGATATTCATGGACCAGGCTGAAGTGGAGAGAAGAAATCCCTCTTGCACCCTTAGACACATCAGCTAGTTGGTAGCAGGCAGCCACGGTGGAAAGCCCGGATGTGTGGGTCTCTGTGGGCAAGTGTCACTGTGTTGGCTGCCTGTTGCCAGGACACACTCCTAGAACAGGTAGGTGTCACTCAGATACAAAGCGTAGCTTTTGGAAATGAGATTATAACAAATTGTAAGTTTGTGTTCTCTGTAGGCAGGTTTTGTTTTTGGAAACAGTCAAAAGTCTGGTGGATCTGGGATGGATAATCCTATCCTGTCCATGCTGGACAACGGTGTTTGGGGGCTAAAAAAATAATCTAACAGCAGAGACACAACTATAGAGGAACAAAGTTGATTTTCTTGGCATGCCCATAAGCTCAATGTAAAATGTGAGAGATTTCCCCAAAGTGGTGCTTTGAAACTGTGTGTGGCCACATAAGCGTTGAAGGAAGCTACACTCAGTGAGGGTCTCAATTCTGAATTGAGTTTTCAAAGACCAGTATCACAGTTACAGCCATGGTGTTCAGCGTGTCTAGGCAAGGGATTGACGTGTTTATTTCATTTCTTATGCTGGAGCACTTCTGAGGCTGCCGGAAGCTCTGATCCATGCTTCCTTCATTAGGGAACACATCACATCCCGTGGGGATCTTGAAAAGACTTGGTGGGGTCTGCCAAGCCTGGCACCTGGGTGGTCGGCTGAGTCACTTTATCTAACCTGCCTTTGCTTCTTCATTCCCCGTAAACTCATTTACCTGCTGGTGCAGCAACATGACACTTGTGGAGGGCTCTCCCTACTTGGCACATGTTCATAGCTGGACAGCTGCTGGAACTTCCAAATGCATGGGGTGGCTGCCTGATTTTTGGGATTTTTGGCACTGAAGATGCCATCTGCAGCCCTTTTCAGGGGGATCAGAGCCTGTCTGCCCTTCAGCAGGGACCTGGATTAAATTACAGATTCTTCTGTGAGAGAGAGCCCACTGAATATCCTGATCAGGTTTATATAATGAATGAGGCTAGAGCCTTCCCTCGACAGTAGGCTTTGGTAAACGGAAAAGGAGATCATTAAGGCAGATGACAGGGCTGCCGAAGGGACTGGAGAAAGAAAAGACTGGGCAGCTGAAGACAAGCATCAGGGCTGACAGTTTTGTTTAAAGACAGTCCTGCAAGTCTGCAGCGATGATGGCAGAAATTGGCAGCCTTATCATGAAGGGCCCAGAATAAATCTGTTTTACTGGTTAAAGATCTTGGGGTTGGACAAGAACATAGTTGTCTCCAATTTGCATAGTTGTGGCACAGGGAAGGAGATGGCCCTTGGTTGTTTATGTTCCCATCAAACATTTTCCCTGCTCCAAATTATCAGCCTGTTATTTGTGGGCTCACCTCTCCTCCATTCTCAGTCAGGGGCTTTGGGTGGGGATGAAGCATGTGACTCAGGCCCGAGACAATCAATCTGTCATGACTCCCTGGTCCCAGTGACTGGTTCAGGGTTGGCAGCAACACTGACATTCAATGACACCTTTTTGCTGGGAGTGCTGGGACTTAGGCAGAGGTCTTTTTTGCCAGACTTGAACCTGAGAGGATATAAAGCTGGAATTCTTGCACTTATGTTGAAATTACCAGGAGCCTGAGATGGAAGCCAGTACGGTGCAGACAGAGCAGAGAGTTGGGAAGAACCAGGTCTGGATAACGTTGCTTGTATTCTGAATTTAGTTCTGCCTGAAATCTGATCACCCACTGGACTTTGCAATTCTTTTCTCTTAAATAATTTTAGGTTGAGCCATCTGTTGTTTGCCATCACTGAAGTGCTGACTGTATCAGTTCTGTGTAGCTGGTGGGACAGGACTAATAGAAGTTGCAGGATGGCATGTGGCAATTTCCTATAAGGATGCACTTTCAACAGAGCTGTATGAAAAGGGTACATGCTCCCTAAAGGGTGAATGCCTTTACAATGACAGGATTTGCAACCTGCATAGGATGATCACTTAGAGGGGATAGTATAGAATAAATTCAAGCATCGAATGGGTTGAATTGGGCAGCTCTTTAGATCTGTGTGTTTCAAAGTCACTCCTGAATGACTACAGCAATAAAGTCACATGCCCTTTCAAACTCCCACTCCAGATAGCTCTAATACAAACAATTCTAATTTTGCAATCCCAGTAACAGATTGTGGTGGGCAGGACTGTCACAACTAGGTTCCCTCCACCAACTTAACTGCTCTGCCAGTGGGGTTGAGCCACTGTGCCCTCCAAACTCCTTCCATCTTCTGCCCCCTTGCACCTACACTCTGGCCCTTGCCAAGAATATCCTGTTTTTCTGCTTTCCCTCTTTGCCTTACAAAAGCCAACTCCCCTCTGTGAGGCTATGTCCTCAGGACACTTCAGACCGAAGATATAGCTCGACTTCTGACCTCTGAGTGATCCAGTTTTCTGAAGCACTGCGTTGGGACTTACTGGTACTGCTTTGCATAGTTCTGGCTCTTCCTCTTCTTGAGGGCAGAGATGGATTATGAATCCTAGCGCACAGCACACAGCTTTGCACATGCTGCATTTAGCTTATAGGTAAGTGATGTCCCAGTATCAGGGGCTGTTGTCAGTATCCCCTGCTGGAGTATGGCCACCTGACAATCTCAGATCCAGGTCATTAGAATTCACTGGGTTGCCTATGGGCTCTCCTACACCACTTTGCTAACCCATGGGGGTCCAGCTGTGTCTAGGGTAGCTGCTGAGCCCAAGACACAGAGGAGACAGAAGCATACCTCCTCCCTCCAGGTCCTTCCTACTCCACCTGCACCTGACACCCCATGTGCTTGATGAGATGTATATTCTTTCATTCATTCACTAAATACTAACCAAGCACTCACAGTGTGCGGGGGCAGTGGGTACACAGTGATGAGCAAAGCACATGCAGTTCCTGCCTGCGGTGCCTCCAGGTTGGAGTCCCGTCCGTACAGAGCCTGGATTTCTTCTCCCCTATCTGCTTCTAGACTCTGAGGTATCTTGGCTCAGGCATCTTGGCTCTGTCACGGTTTCCTTTGGAGGTTTCCTGTTCGCATTTTGCTGAGGGCAGGGCCCTCCTTCTAAGGCTCCTTTTCCCCTATTCCCTCTTTAACCTAAATCTGGGATCCAGTCCCTCAGTCCCAGGAACCACCCTCTAATCCGTTTCCTCTGCTCACGAAATTTTGGCTGGGTCTCTCCTAAAACCCAGGAGAGGCCTGGGCTCCCCAGGAACAACCTAATGGTTATAAAATATTGTGAGTTTTGCATTTTCAGTGTCTATTTGGTTTAAATAGTGAAGTGGAGAAGTTCAAATTCTAAGAAAAGTATTCATAATCCTGGTAGGTTTGGGGAAAGCAAATCCAAGCCCCTGCTGGGCTCTGGCTTGAGGTTCTGACCCCCAGGCCACCGGCGAGGGTTGGGCTTTTGGCTCTGAAGCCGGTGGATGAGGCTCCTGGTTCTACCTGCTCCTGGCTGGCGGCTGGCTGAGTGCTGTGTCAGCGATGAGCGACGCTGACCGCCGCCGCTGGCAGGAACTGAGCCAGGCGCTTTTTTGCTCTTCCACAGAGCAGCAGCCCAAAGCCCAAAGCGGCCCGGGGTGGGGGGTCGGGGACGGGGTAGGCGGTGGTGGGAGAGGGTGGATCCCGTCCCCAGGGGGCCACCTGGCGCTGGTGGCATGGCCGAGAGCCAGGCTCGCCTTTGCCCTCAGTTTGTGCCCGAGCTGTGGAGCCTGGCTGGCATCTCTGAGAGCAAAGCGAACGAAGCCCGCGAGTGATCTCGGGGGAACTTCCTAGAGAAAAAGAAGAATTTCAGGTTGGAAGGTGCAGGGAGGGTAGAACACGGGAGGGAAGGAGCGCTCCCCGGCAGACACAGAGGGGGCCCTGCCCGGGAGAATCCCCCGAGCGCTCGTGTACTACATGCCCACGTGCGCGCGTGGGCCGGCGGGAGAGCGGGAGCCGGAGCGAGCGGGCAGACGCAGGGCGGCCGCAGGCAGAGCCGAGCGAGCGCGCTGCCGGGCGCGGGGCCCAGGGCCGCCCACTGGCGGGGGAGCCGCGGCGCGCGCAGGGGAGGCGGTGGCGGCGGCCGCGGCGGCGGGGCTTCCCCGGGCTTCCCCTCCCGGGCCGCTGGCGCCCGGCGCGGGCCCAACCGCGGAGGCGGTGCCCGGCGAGACGGAGCCGGGAGTCCCCGAAGCGCCTTCCGCTCCGCGCGGGGACGCGGGGCCCGAAGTGCCTGGAGAGTCCGGCGCGGCGTCCGGGATCCCGGGGACCCGAGGCGGGAGGTTTGGGCTGAGCCCTCCCCGGCTCCCGCCCGCCCCCGCCCGGCGCCCGCCTCCGCCCCCGCCCGCGGCCTGGAGCGCGCCTCCCTCGCAGCCCAGGGTCTGGCGAGCCGGCGCCGGCCGAGCTGCGGGAGCCGCGGACAGCACCAGCCGCCGCCGCGGGAGCTGCTCCGGCCGTACCATGCGGGAGCTGGCCATCGAGATCGGGGTGCGAGCCCTGCTCTTCGGGGTCTTCGTGTAAGTAGTGGCGCGCCGCGGGCGGGTGCACTGACGCGGGGACCCACCGACCGAGCCTCTCCGCGCCGCAACTTTGTTTGCATCGCCGCGTCCCGCTGGGGCCTGGATTCGAGGTCCGCTCCCCGCCCGCTGCCCTCGCCGCGTCCCACGGGACCGAGAGAGACCCTCCCCCTTCCCTTCGTGGGACCCTCGGCGCGAGCGACCCTCGCGCGCTCCCCGGCTAAGACCTGCTCCTGCCACCCCCGCCGCATCGGGGAGCGGGCCGGCCACCATTCCAGTCCCCTCGCGGGCTCCCTTCGCCGGCCCGCACCACCCGCCCGGGGGATTCGGGGCTGCTCCCCTGCGCTGGGACGCGCACCCTGGCCCGCGCCCTCGAGGAGAAGTTTCTCCTTCTGCGTGCTCTTTGGAGGCCCGCGTTGGAAGTCTTTGCTCCTGGCCCCATCTCCCGTTGCTCCCCGCCGTGGCCCCGGCCAGTCTCCTCCCAGGTCCCTGGCGTTGGCGCCCGCGGTCCTGCTGAGCGTCATCCCGGGAGGCGTTTGCGGCGCTTCTCCCGCTGGAAAACTGTTGCTGCGGCGGCTCGGGGAGTCAGAGGCCGCCGCCTGGGGTCGGCTCCATTCACCCCGGAGCTCTGTGCCTAGGCGGTGTCTGCTGCGGGAGCGGGTGCGGGGGCCAGTCAGGGCAGCGGTGAGATGCTCGGGGTGGCTCTGAGAGGCTGGGACCTGGAGCAGAGGAGCAGGTGCTGGCGCAGGTTCTTTCCGAGATGAGATGTCTGAGCCTCCTCGGGGTGCCTCGGGGGCCGCTCACCAGCCTCTGGGGACGAAGCAGCGGCGGTGGGGGGTGGAGGGGGACGGGGGAAGGGGAACTGTCGCATCTTTCCATTTCAGATCTGAGCCCAGAGCCCAGACACCAGCTCAGACCCGCCCCACAGCCTTCTCTGAGCTCCTGTCACCTAGGCGCTCACACCTGCGCTCGTCTCTCCACTTGTGGGTCAGGGTCAGGTTCTCTCTCCCCTTCTGTCCATGGCTGTTTTCTGTCACATTTTAAATATTAAAGTTGCATGAACTTTCTGGATCTGCCTGTTTTTTTTTTTTTTTTTGGTGGTGGTGGTTGTTTTTGGAAAAGCCCTACGGAGCCAAACAGGAGGCTCGCTCTGGATTCCTGCCTCAATCCAGAGTCATGTGCGGCAGGTGTGCTGTGTCAAAGATGACTTCTGTTCCCTGTAGCCCAGGGTATACACATGGAAAGAAATGCCCTTTCTTGCATGTTTTTCTTTACTAGGGATTAAATTCATCCAGAGTATTTATTCACACCATCAGAAAGGGCCGGGAGCTCCCCCAGATGCAGGCAAGCCCCCCTCTCTCGCCTTCTCACTGAACACTAGTGTTATTCACTGGGAAGAAGGAGCGAGAACTTCTGTTGGGTCTTGATGCATTTGGAAAAACAAGCACTTTTCCCTCCTCTTACTCTGTTTTTCTACTTTTGGAATGTACATTAAAACTAGCCATTGCTGTGTGATCAGATGGGGACATCTGATCCAATTGGCAGATAGGCTAAAGCCCCACTAAATTATTATGTGATAGAAATGATAAAATAATGTTCCATACAAAGTAGAATTTAATATTTGTTGGGTGAATGTGTGAAAAATGCTGAAATAAAGTGAGATAGGCTCTTAGGCTACCTGGTTTGATTGTCTCTGGGAATTCTCAGATTTTAAAAAACGGAGTCCAATAATATGTCAAATATTTATATTATGTTCAGGTTTCCCTTCAAATTCCCCCCCCCCCGCCATTTATGAGATGTTTACAAGTATACAGTGGTCTGTGCAGTGAATTTGAAAACTTGCTAATCATCATTCACATGCTTCTTGCTTTTTCTAAGGATGTTATATAAAAACCAGGCAGGCAGTTTACATTCTTTCCTCTAAATTCCCTTTTGTAATACTAACTAGGGGATTTGCTGTCATCTCCCCTAGAGAGACACATGGGCATTGATGGCATTTTTGAATTATTCTTGGGTTTCTTATCAACCCTTGGAAATGTTAACACTGTCTCCAGCTTGTGGCTCTTTTACCTGCAAAGACCAGCTCTGGTATTAATGCGAGCCTTCCTGGGGGCGGATCTTGGATGTTCAGATGTTGTTAACATCAGGCATATATGACTTCTGGAAGGATGGGAGGAGCAGGGAGACATACAGACAATGCTTTGTTTTCTCAGATGGGCTTCTGGCACCTTGACAGAGGCTGACTTTTGGGGGAAGCTTAATCCTTTCTTTTGCCAACACTGGAGTGAAGGCAAGATTGAGTGGGTTGTACCCATTTCTGCTCATGAAGATCATGGTGTCAGCAGCACAGGTGGGTTTAGAAAGTCCCTCCGGGTGAGCTGAATCCAACTTCCCTGCTGCAGTTACTATCCAACTTAGCTGACATAATTCATCATCTAGTTCTGCTTGTTATTTCTACCCTATATCTCAGGATGTGGGAATATTTTTTTTAGGAGGGGGGCGGTGTCTTCTTTGCAAACTTCTGCCTCTGGAGAAACATCACCTGTAGATGTGCCTGTTCCCTGACCACATTTGCTCTGTGCGACAGCAGGGATCCTGCCGACCGTGGCCCACGTACTCCCTGGAGATTCCAAGTTAGAGCTGACGAAATGCATTTTGGGCCCCTGGGTAGTAGGGATGTAAGCTTTCCCTTGCTGACTCCTAAAGAACCAGTTTTCTGTTTGTAGATCAGGTCTAGTGCTGAGGTTTTGTGCATTGAGGATGCTGGGAAGATGATCTCCAGGCAACTCCCACAGATGCTTAATCGTGTCTAAGAACCTCAAATCATTAGGCAAAAAATGAGTAAAGAGTAATACAAGTCAGGACTGGCACTGTTTAACCTAACAGAAGATAAACTGGGTTATAGGAACCCAATGTTTAGGAAAAATAAAAGTACAACGTGTAGCTTTGAGGCTGCATTTGATATTGTGAAGCGTGTGGGCCTTGAGGTCCTATTGCTCCTACTCACGGACTGTGGGCAGAGCAGGGAGGAGCAGAAGCACCCATGGGCTCCCTCTGTCCTGCTGCCACCCAGGACTCCAGGAGAGATTCTGTGAGAGTTTCCACAGATGCCAAAGCCAGTGCCAGACCTTGCTCAGCAAGCACACAGTGTGGAAATGAGGTGGCTGGTTAACCGCTTTGCAGACCAGTGGTGTGCTACCTCTAGCACACTGCTCACCTTTACTGCTATGGCCAGTGCTGTAGCCACCATTTACCATGTGTCAGGCACTAGGGAAGACTATTGCATATGCCATGTGACCAGATGAAGGGGCTATATTGATATTTCTTTGTCATGGATGAAGAAACTGAAACAGTAAAATTAAGGAAATTCCTAAGTAACGGAGCTAAGCAAGGACAGCTCTGAGACCTAAATCTAGATGCTCCTCTTGCATAGTCTGGACTCTAATCGCCTTGCTTTGGAAAAAATAGCAGCCAGTGTTGGTCAGTCCAGCACTTACTACTTGCAAAAGGCATTCCATGTGATTTCTTTTTTACACCTCATCTCACTTGAGGTGGATTCTGTTCATTATCCTCCCTTTACAAATAAACCAAAGTTTAGAAAGGTTGAATAACTTGCCTGCAGACACTCAGCTAGCAGGAGGTATAACCCATATTCAAAGAGACAGCTGACCCCATGTCCCAAAGCCATCCAGTCACTGAGATAGAATGTGTCCAGCACCAGGCTTCCAGATTGGCACAAAAGTGACCACATCCTGCATGCAGTCACCTTCTGTGACCTGTGCTTTCCCAGAGAGCAAGCACACAATGCCTGGAGTAATATATGTGAAGAGCAGTCACTCTAGCTCTAAAATCAAATCTTAGAATGATACCTCAAAGGTGGAGGGCTGGTTGTGGTGGTTCATACTCCCTAGGGGGATTTGGGCCATGGCACAGGTGCAGAGGGTATGATGCGGTGAGCGTCCTGTGGTAAGAACATAAATGGTGGTAGGAAAGAACTGGAGGCACAATGCTTTCTCCCACTATGGTTGGCCATCGTCCCCCAGGACATCAGTTCACTGGAATGCTCTACATTTATAGCACTGCAGAATGAACCCTGGACAAAAGATGACCATCTGATATGCTGGACTGGGGGAAAGGTGGCCTGCCTGTTTCACTTGTCAGCTTGGATTCCTTGGGGTTCTCTGTCCCTCTTTCCTTCCCTCCATCTTCCTTTCTCTCCCTTTCTTCCTATGGATCCTGGTGGCTCCCTGTGTGCAGGGTCTCCCCAGAAACTGTGAGTCTGGTCAGGATGCTAGGGTACCCAAGTAATGGTGTTTGCATCACCTCTGATCAATCTAGCATCCTTCTCGGAGCCCTTCCAATGCAGGAGGCCTGTGCCAGGCTCTGGGGACGAGAGAAGAAGGAAGGCCAGGTGGCCCCCAGGAGCTCACAGCAGAGGAAGCACACAGTGAGCCACAGTTCATTATTTTCTCCTTATGCAGCCACTGGTTTTGAAAGTTTTGCTTCCAGACATTTCTCTTATCATTTATCCAGTTGATAGATCCTTATCTGCCACCTTCTAGGTGCACGCACTTGCAGTAGTCATTGGTAAACTTTAGTTGGCATAATTCCAGCAAGACATGAGGAAACTTGGTGCTTTAGCTGGTCCAGGTGGTTTGCTTGAGGGCACTGGATGTCAGGTAGACTTTTGAAATATTGACAATAACTAACAGATCCATATTTATTACCCCTACGAGTCCAGCCTGGGACTCCGGGCCGGGACAGCTGTGGTGGTTTGAGCAGAGTGCAGCATGAGGAGGAGCTGCGTGCCAGGGAAGGCTGCCCAGAGCTGACATCTCACCTGAGTCTTGGGCATTGCGTGCCAGGGGTACAAGGCCTGGGCCCAAGGACGTTCCCTCAGAGCAGAGGCATGGAGGCACATTTTGCATGGGGATCGGGTCACCAGCTGTGGCCTCAGACAGTGTGGGTTTCAGGGTGGGTGGGTGTGGGGTGACAGGAAG